GTTGGTAAGCACTAACGTTTTCGTTTTCTTTATTACGTATACTGTGCGTTTCACTTTGAGACAAAGTCGGAACTTGAGAGTTGAAGAGCGAGGTCAGACGGAGTTGATAATGGTTAACGAAGCGAGAAGAGAAAAAATAGCGATCGAAACATATGCCTGGATTTACTTCTGGATTTATCGCTCGATGTCGCCATTGAAGGACCATTAAAATCGCTCTGGTAGGTAAGCCCTAACCTCCTCTAGTGTTTTCTGTATTCTTTGCGTGATTTGAAACATGGAATTACGATGGTGTTGAAATAAGCAGACGTCATCGTAAGGGAAGACAATGAGTGGAGCGTGAACGGTGATGATCATAAGTCATGTTTGCGGCTGAAAACATGAGGAGTTGAGAGAGGAGAAATTGAATCGCAGACGAAGATAAAGAAAAGGAGACGACGGGAGTGAGATCGAGGAACAGAAGATGACGCTCGTGAGAGATGATGAGTGTCACTACAATGGAGAATCCAATTGAAGTATACGACAACAAATTTCGCTTGATCGGAGAAGTTTGAGTAAAGGATGCGCTGCGGACAATCATAGAGCTCAGCCCTAATTTCTCTCTTAATCTTTATTTGTTGTTTTAATTTGAAGAAGATAAATAACAAATGAAATTGGGCCACTGTGTTATGGCTTGGACCGAACACACCCCAATTGAGCCCGATATATGATTTTCTTGGTGGATATTGGTGATGGATCCTGGGCAAAAATTTTCAAAGCCTGGGCATATTTTTGGTAAAATCTGGGCCTAACATCCAGAACTATGTTGCTAGACAGCACCACTGCTTGCTATTTGCACTCTCCGGTCAACCTACAACAACTGTTTTTGGCAGCCTGGTTGCTTGTAACAAAAAAAGCTTTATGGACTGGGCTTAGCACCAGAATTTGGATTGTTATGTAGCAGCATTGTGTACATATTACACCCCTTTTTATTATTATTGGCATTTTTGTTTAGATATTTTTTATAATTGTTTTATTTGAGTTTTTTTTACATGATAAAAAATAATAAAATCAAATATAAAAATTTGTTAGATTTTTTATGTTTTGATTTTAGGAATTAAATCTCGATTATCCAATTACTTGAGATTGGTAATTCACCTTTGCTTGTTGAGATTTGAGTCTTATGCAGGTTTATTGTGTAATACGCAGATGTGCTTGAGATTTCGATTGTGATTTAGTTTCACATCGATGATGCTTCGACATTTATTTCAGGTATTTGATCTCTTACTATTTTCCGTTGCTTGGTGAAGCTTACTCAAAGTTTTCTGAATTTCTCTGTTTTTGCTCGCAGCGCTACGAACTTTTGTTCGTTTGGTATTTTCTCTTGTTTACCTCATTTTAGCATTTATCGCTTTCTAGAGATCATGTATAGTAGGGACATTTATCGCTTTCTAGAGATCGTGTGAAGTAGGAAGCAGGAAATAAAGAGTGTATGCTCGAAGTCACTGTTTAAAATCCTGTAGTAGGCACCGCTTTCTGTATACTATTTGTGTTTGTTTAAAATCCTACCTTTGAAGTAAGTATTTTGCACGTGTGTTTACATTTGTGCCCATATTATATTACAAATAATAAGTCCTCAAAAGGAGGCAAGCGGGGAGGGTTTGAAATCGACCCCCACACATTCCAGTCCGTGTCATCCTTAGCTCACGTTGTACGTCGATGCTTCAGAGTTGTGCAAATCATGGTTATCGAGTCGTCAGTGGAAAATGGATCTATAATCAATCCCCCACATTTTTTCTTGAGCTCATGTTGGTCGATGTTGATGTCTGTGCTCTTTTCTTCTATCCCATCCCTGCTTGTTTGCCCCGGTTGATATGACCCATTGGCTAAAGCACCCCTACTAATTTTATACCTACCTTGATCTTCTATATTATGGTTAGGTATTTGACTTGAGTTAACATGTGTTGTTCATGATATATTGTGTGTGCTCTCTTGAGCTTATTCACTTGCTTGCTTGATTTCATCTTCGTGTGCATGTTTTGAGATGATATACCCTCAGCATGCTCCTTTAGGACTTCTTGATTCATATATAGATAATGATTTGAGATAGACATTAAGATTGTTATCCAAGCATGTCAACATAGGATAGAGATTTCCCTTCAAAACTTAACTTTAGGATCAATCATTGTATGATAATATTAGGGATAGATTTAGGTTAGTCTCCCTTAGATGTTTTTCTTTCTTTCACATCCTTGCATTAAGACTAAAACTTTTTTTCTTGGCAAAAAGCATAAAACATCTAACAATTTTAAAAATCCTTTTTCAAGGTAAAAAACATCAACCAAAGCAAATTTTTTTGCGCCTTCGGGCTTTTCTTTCAAACGTTTTCAAACGAACATGTTAGTTCACTTATGTGCTGACGCATGAGTCTCCAAAGGTTGAGCTACGACAGAAGGAAAAATTAATATTGTTCATTAAAAAATACAAACCAACACAAACTTTTGAGCTGAACTACGACTGCTCTGATTCCCTAAAAGGGATATGTAGGCATGGGGTAGGGCCCAAACGAACACAACTTTATTTTCCCTAAATTATTTTCTCTTTTCTTTTGCGTGCATTCCCTGTACAGCTTAGATATTGATTCTTACATACCCATAAGATAGAACAACAAGAGTGGATACCGTAGAGTGCTACATGCATGTGGGATGCTAATACCTTCCCCTTGTGTAACAGACTCCCTTACCCGTATATCTTGGTTGTTCGACCTTGATTTCACTCTTCTCAAGTTTATTCGATGTTTACCTTTCCTTTCCTGTGGAATAAAAAACATTCGATGACGACTTTATTGATTTGATTATCAGTTGATTGTTCAGCCGGTTGTTTTATCATGACATAAAGGAAACAAAATCATAAAAAATATGAGAACCCCATTAAAGTAAAATACATATATAAGAGTTCTAAAGAGAAATCCAAATGTAACTGCAGACCTGTGCAAACATTTGACTCAATTAAAGTTGGAGTTTTGATGTCCAAGAAAAAATATTGGTTTGACTAAGGTTTCGTGGTGTTCTGATTCATCAATTTTGTGGCAGCCATATAATCTTTGCTATAAAAAATACTTCCTGAAGCCACCTGATTTAAATTGATAATAAATTTCATAAATAAAACAATAATCCAAATTTCAAATTCAATCCAAAATTATAAGACAAGAATACACACCAAATCATGAAATTTCTCATAGTCTATCCATGTATATCACTGGCCATCAATTTTGAACTTCTTAGTTTTTGCTAAGAGGAGAGACACTATATTTGTTTAGAAGTTATACAACAATAAAACTTCAAGATTTCAAAGTTTACCAAAAGGGGATTCTTCAACCATCGCAACAACCTCTTTATCTTGATTTTTCGAAGCGACACAATCATCCATATCAGGTTGGTTCCCATTCAAAATTTGCTCATTCGGCAGATCTCCAACTGCAAACAAAATACCATATAACATTAGGTACAAACGGTACATAACAAAAACATAAAATCACCGTACAAAAACAATATCCAACAAACACCCACTCATTCACAAAAATCAGTCTTGTGTTATAGCTTTAGTCAATTGACTGTGACATTGACATATATTTTAGTATTGGAACAAGTCAAACAACACAGAGATAAAATTCTAAATAAAGAAGAAATGGGCGAGAGGTAGGTATCATTGAGAGTGACAGAAGGTTGTAAGAGAAAAAGAAGATTTTTTATGAACTCAATTGAATGTGGAATTTTAGGGTATTCAAATGTAACTCAAATTTGAGTGGGATTTTAGGGTTCTGATGTAACCCTTTTGAATGGTGTATCAATAATGTATGCGTTTCTTTTCTTAAAATATAAAGACTTTCCATTGTCCAAGATATTAATTTTGTATTTGAATTTGTTTTCCTACGTTAAAACAAAGTTCAGGAGATATATAAGTTTTATTTAGATATTAAAATAAATAAAAAAGATTCAGAATAATTGAGGGAGTGACACGTCAGATATAATAAGTGTCAAAATAATATGGTGAGAGTAGTGTTAAAAAAATCTAATGTGCCATTGTAATTAAATTAAATGTTAATTGGTATTAGAGGAGTAATATTTAGATTTTCAGATACTTTGATTTATATAGATAGATATTCCCATCATTCCTATTTATAAGAAAATTTTAACTTTTTAGGTTCATTGAATAGTTGATGTATCTAACCAATATATAGTCTAAATACATAATTTATTTAATGAAATTAAAAAGTCAAAATTTTCTTATAAAAGAGAATGAAGGGAGTGATAGATATTATTCTTTTAAAAATACATCTAATTTTTATTTATGTTGAGTAGACTATGACAAGAATATGACAATTTTCCAATTACAACCTTAAAAAATATAAACTATTATTTATGGAAGAGAAAGATATTTCACGTCAAAAAAGCGTCCAAATTCTGTTATTTATGGAAGATTTCACGTAAAAAAAGCGTCCAAATTCTGTTAATGTTAGAATATGGACCCATTTTTTGTTCCATCTCTACTATCTCTCTCTCTCTCATCACTGTCTCACTTTTTATATATGTATATAAACTCATTTCAAGTTTTCTCAATCCAAACAACGGCGCAATTGTTTCATGGTTTGTCACATTCTTGATAACCCTACTTCTAAAATGTAGTTACTTTCATGATTTGTAATGTCATATATACTATTAGCACGCTTTTGTTTAATATATTTTTTTTCATATGTTCATAGCTACACAGAAAAATAGCTTAACTAACAAAAAAAAAATCATTTATTATATTTTGCTTCTGGGTATTTCTAAGGTTATGATAACTTTCATATATACTGTTAGAATATTGTGGGGTGTGTGTTTATTGGTAGAGGATCTAGTTGGATTTTTGTGGTCTATTTTTTATTTATTATTTATTGTTTTGGGATCTCAAACTAATGTATTTTGACAATGACAGAACCAAAATACTCAAGTTGGAAAATTATTGAAGAACCAATTGGATCAATGTATAAACCAACAGCATCTGAAGTTTTAATTCTCCTGCTTCTGTTATGTGTATCTGCAACTGCTAAGGGATTTTCAAAATGCAACTGTGATGATGAAACAAGCTGGTGGACTATTGACAACATTCTAGAATGCCAGAAAATCGGGGATTTCTTAATCGCCATTGCGTATTTCTCGATCCCTGTCGAGCTTCTCTATTTCATTAGTTGCTCAAATATTCCATTCAAATGGGTTCTTTTTCAGTTCCTTGCATTCATAGTCCTTTGTGGAATGACACATTTGTTTAACAGTTGGACTTATGGACCCCACACTTTTCAAACCGTTGTGACACTAACGGTCTTAAAAGTCCTTACTGCAATGGTTTCATTGGCAACTGCCATAACATTGATTACGTTGATCCCTCTGCTTCTTAAAGTGAAGGTTCGAGAGTTTTTGCTCAAGCGTAAGACAAGGGAGCTTGGAATCGAGGTTGGTATGATCACCAAACAGAATGAAGCTGGAATGCATGTGAGAATGCTTACTCAAGAGATTCGAAAATCGCTCGATAGACATAAGATTTTGTATACTACTTTGGTTGAAATGTCAAAAACTTTAGGGTTGCAGAATTGTGCTGTGTGGATGCCTAATGTTGATAAAACCGAAATGAACCTCACTCATGAACTGAATGGGAGGAATGTTAACTCTTCTATACCGATTACTGATTCGGATGTTGCAAGAGTTAAGGGAGATAATGTAGTTAAAGTTATTGATTCTGATTCGCCGCTTGCGTCTGCAAGTAGTGGAGTTTCTGTTGATGCAGGACCGGTTGCTGCAATTCGAATGCGAATGCTTCGTGTTAGCGATTTCAAAGGAGGAGCGTCTGAAGTAACGGAAGCTTGTTACGCGATACTTGTTTTGGTACTTGCGAGTTCAGAGGACAGGTCTTGGAGCAATCAAGAGTTGGAGATTATTAAAGTAGTTGCTGATCAGGTAACTGTGGCTCTTTCTCATGCTGCGGTTCTTGAAGAGTCACAGCTCATGAGGGAGAAATTGGAGGAGCAAAATCGAGCATTGCAGCAAGAGAAAAGAAAGACTTTGATGGCGAGCGAGGCTAGAGCGGTTTTTCAGAAAGTTATGAGTAATGGAATGGGAAGGCCAATGCATTCAGTTATGGGTTTGCTTTCAGTGTTGCAAGATGAGAATTTAAAAAATGAACAGAAGCTTATTGTGGATTCAATGGTAAGGACAAGCAGTGTTTTATCGAACTTGATGAACGATGCTATGGATAATTCAGATAGGGAGAGTGGAAGTGGAAGATTTACTTTGGAGATGAAATGTTTTGGGTTACATAACATGTTGAGAGAAGCAGCTTGCATTGCTAAGTGTATGAGTTTATGCATGAGTTTTGGATTTAAGGTTGAGGTTGATAAAACCTTGCCTAACTATGTTATCGGCGATGAAAAGAGGGTCTTTCAGGTGATTTTGCACATGGTTAGGAACCTTATAGATGGTAACCACGGTGGAGGTATTCTTGTGTTTCGAGTTTTTGCAGAATCGGGAAGCCGAGGAAGGACTGATCAAGGATATGCAACTTGGAGACCAAGCTTGTGTAGCGGTGATGTGCATGTTAGATTTGAGATAGGGATCAATAGTAGTGATTCTGAATCGGAGACCTCAGCTTCTTCAGGCCGGCTTTCAGGTAGGATGCATACGAGTGATCGGGCGTTCGATGAAAAATTGAGCTTCAGCATTTGCAAGAAGATAATCCAGGTAACTAAGCATGGTTTATAAGCATGAAATTCCAATGATTAATTGGTATACTATATTTATTGTTGGAACTGTTTTTGTTTTCTGTATTGATTTTGTGCTTTTGTTTCTGACAGTCTATGAAAGGGAGCATACAGTCAGTACCAAATGCTAGAGGCTCTCCGCATCTCATGACCCTTGCTCTTCGGTTTCAGTTACGTCGTTCAATCGCAGTAACCATCTCTGAAGCAGGGGAGAGTTCAGAGTCGTCGAGTTCGAATTCTTTGTTCCGAGGTCTGCAAGTCTTGTTGGCTGACAGCGACGATGTTAATAGAACAGTAACACTGAAATTTCTTCAAAAACTAGGCTGTGTTGTCACATCAGTTCCTTCCGGATTCGAATGTCTTAGTCTTTTCGGACCTGCTGGTAGATCTCCCTTTGAAGTCATTCTTTTGGATCTTCACTTGCCTGATTTAGATGGATTTGAAGTTACTTCGAGGATCCGAAAGTTTAAAAGCCGCAACTGGCCTATCGTAGTTGCTTTGACAGCAAGCTCGGGAGAAGATTTGCAGGAAAAATGCATGCATGTTGGATTTAATGGAGTTATCCGAAAGCCGATTCTGTTGAAAGGATTCTCCGACGAACTTCGAAGAATCCTGAAGGGAAACTAGATCCTAAGAAGATTTTCAAGTTAATAATTTTCAGTCACATTTTAGATGAAAGTAGCATATGATAGATACATTTCAGATTATAGATTGTAGACACAAGTTAAGAAAGTATACAAGTTATTAATCTTCAAGTTATGTAGTTTCTGTTTTGGTATGTGCAACTTTCATTCACATCCCTTAATCAGAAAATTTCTAAATAAAATATGAATGAAATAACTCTTTTAAAACATAGAAGGACAACAAACTACTAAACCAAAATCTATGAAATGGAAAATGAAAAAAATAAATAAAACTTAATAATTAAAAATACTATGTTGAAAAAATAATACTACCTCCTTCGATTCTATTTATAAGAAAAATTTACTTTTTAAATACATTGAATAATTAATATATATATGAATAATATATGGATCAGATACATTAGATATTTAATAAATTTAAAATTTTTTTTTTTTATAAATAGAATTCATAAGGAGTAAGGTACAAGAAAAGATTAGAAAAAGGTATGGTAGAGCATAGGACTTCGAGATTGACAAGCTACATGTATGCGATAACATTTTATGGTTCTTTGCAGAACAATTTTTCATTTATTTGGGAAATCATTATTTGCTTTATCATATTAAGAAAGTTACTCTATCATTATATGGCAAATGCTTTCGGTCTAATGTTTCTTACAATATTAGAAGGTTGTAAAAAAGAAAAAACCTAATTAAAACATGCATATCTTAATTCTTATTTATTACTATTCATAACTGCAAAAGTGAGATTCTTGAAGTTCCTTTTCTGTTCATAAGTTTCACAATATTTGAGAAAAATAAAACATGTTTGTTTTTACGTATTATTGTGAATTATTTTATTTTCGTAATATTTGTTGTGTGGTTGTTATGACACTTTCTTTAAGTTTTCACGGTGTGATAATACCATAGCATGACGAGAAGAGGTTACTAGCTCGCACAATAAAGGCGTCGAGTTTACGACGTAAAACAAGTATGTTTTGTTTGTATTCGGTTATATATGTGTTGAGTTGTGTTTTAACAAGGTGAAATTGGACTTGTTTTAAATTCTCAAATTTTCACTTTTCAACTTGTTTAATTCACTTTTACCAGTTTGTTTTGTTATGTCAATTTGTGTTTTTCCGCAAGCTTGTCGTGTTTAGCTTAAGATTTGTTGTCTGTTGTAAATATTGTACATGGATAGTTAAGATTGTGTAGGTGAATATGGAGGTTGCGTTGTTGTCTGCTGGACTGGTTTTTGCTGTTTTGGTGTAGCGCGTTTAGCGCGCCCTGTTGTGCAGAGCCAGTGAATTATTTTTAATTTTTCGCTTGGATTTCCCTTTCCCACTTCACCCAAGGCTTTACAGTATAGTAATTAATAGTAATATTTTTAATTCTTTCTTTTGTTGTTTAGACTCAAGTTTTGGTCCGATAACTTGAAGTCGGATTTGGTGATTTTTTGATTTTGAGTATGTCAACTTGCAGATGTATGGTAATGATAGTTTTTGAAGTTGGTACTCGCCAGGTACTCGTTTATCGCTTTCTATAACATAACATGTTTAGGAAATTTATCATTTGTATAATTACCATACCATTCTTTTTTTTTTTTGCATTACTTGACTTAAACCACTTTAGTTCCATTTTTACCCATAAATGTGAAGAAACTTTCCATTATTCACATATGTTGGAGGCCACAATTCTTATTTTAAATGGATTTTATTAAGTTTAATATTTTGTTTGTGCTGATTGTATGAAAGTATGAACATGATCAAAGCATTTTTGTTTCATTTTGAGCACAACTATCTTGGCCAAATAGTCAATTCACCTTGTGACTGTGTGATAATTAGTATCCCCTTTTAACTTTTTTGTCGATGTCCATGTTGTTTTTTCTAAATGCTTATCTTTGAGTATTTAGTTTATCTTTTTGTATGGACATTGATTCTTTGTTTTCTTGAACCCTTAACTATACTTTATGGTTTGAATTTTTACCTTACCTTAGAAAGTAGGGAGTATTCATATTATGATATGGTTAAATTCAAGTTGGGGAGAGAAATATTTATGTGCTTGTGTGTATTACTATGTGGTTGGGAAAGAAAGAGCAAAAGAAAGAAAAAGAAAGAAAAAAAGTGAAAAAGAAAGAAAAGAAAAAGAAAGGAAAAATATAAAAGTTTTGAAAAACAATAGCAAAAAGAGTTTGAAATATTTTCTGATAATAAGTGATATGTGTTGGTTTGAAATTTGGAATGAAGAAGAAGTTTGATTGAAATTATTTTGCTTGAGTCTTTGTGAGTTGATCACTCCTTTAGGTTAAGGAAAGTTATTGTTTTAATTAGCTTTAGGACTTATCCCTTGTTTGTTAATCAAGCCACATTACAACCTTGAAAAGTCCTTATGATTCTTGCTTTTGTATTTTTAATATGAGTTTTTGGATGAATGCATAATTTAGTCTATTGTTTGCAAGGTTGTGGATGAGTATTTTTTTGTCCCTCACTTTTGTGTGTTCTTCATCTACCGATGAATTTTTACTAGGTGTGCTTCACGATTGAGCTTGTTTTGTTTTAGAATGTTTAGTATGATTTTTGTACTTGGGATTCGTTTTATTTACATGTTGTCGTTGTAGGATTGTGGTAAGTATTTATCTTGCATGTGCGTTTTTGTTTGAACCATACATTTGTTTTCCGTTTTAAAACTTGTTGATTCATGATATTTTGATTGATTACTTTTTATTCGTTGAGTTGTTTGACTTTGTTTGAGGACAAACAAGTTCAAGTTGGGGAGAGTTTGATAAGTGCAAATTGTAGCAATTTTTGTATATACTTTTTGTTGCACTCATCGACTGTTGTTGTTAATATCGTTGAATAAACCCAACTTTTTTTTATAAATAAGTTTAGTTTGTGTTTATTTGTGTTTTTGTATACATAGTGTACCGTCTGATGTTTTTCCATTCATTTTGTAGGTATTTGTTGTATTTTGGAGCATTGAGGAATAAGGTGTCGAAGGCACGGTTCTGGATGCGCGTTTTCAAAATAAAAGACCAATTTTGAGAAGTTTTTCCCAGGAGAGCCCACTTAGTACGCAGAAGGCCGCTAAGCGCGAGTGCACTTATTGCATTTTGTAGCGCGTTGCTTGTGTTTTGACATTTTTCCAGAAGCATTGTTTTGGAGCCCGCTTAGCGCGGATAGAGCGCTTAGCACAGTTTAAGTTGCTTTAATGTGTAAGTATCGCGTAGCCCGCTTAGCACGGTGAGCCCGCTAAATGCGGTCTGCTGAGATTTATTTTATAACTTCATTTTTAGTTTATTTTTTGTTATGGTTTTGAGGAATTTTTTGCTCCCACCTCCATCAACCTCCAATTTTGTTAGGATTAGCTTATATAACAATTATGAAGCTTGCTTGCGAATGATCCGGGGTAAATTGCTCTTTGATCAGCGCTGACAAATCGATATATATGTGGTTTATTTCTCTTTTTCTTTGTGTATTCTCTTTTGGTTGGGTTTGTACATGTATTTACTTTGATCTTATGTATATTTTTCACCCTTGGCGTTATATAAAACTTACTTTACAAATCTTTGTCGATTGTTATCCTTGATTTTTGCTCTGTGCTAGGGATTTGAGTTGTATAGACATATACTGCTTGAATTCTTATCTATGATGATTATCTAATAGTGTCTTCATTATAGAAATAGATTTAGCATTGTTATTCACTTAGGGTATCTGCGATTAATTCCTTTGTATTGTTTATGTCGCTCTGAGAGATCGTTGATGCAAGTGAGTATGGTTGACTTATGTTTTGTTAAGGTTGGTTGAGAGATCATCGCTGAGGTGATACAGTGGGTGTTGTGTTTGACATGTGATGACATTGATGAATGTTGTAGGTTTAGTATAACAGGTCGATAGGTTTAAGTTTGTGAGTAGTAGTATATATGCATGCTTGATAAGTTATTCCTTTTTCCTTTATATATATTCATTTTTTGTTGATACTTTTCCTTTCAATCCATTTATCCTCCTAATTCATTAACAAGAGATTTGTCGAACGATATTTCAATACACCAATCTCTGTGGACATGATACGATATAACCTAAATATCACCTGGTAAATTAATAACTTTCTTTTTGCTTGCCGCTTTACCGCTCCAGTAACATGCGATGTGAATAAGTGTTTCCGTTGTGGTAAAGTTGGACATGGAGTGACTGAATGTAAACACAAGGAAGTGATATGTTTCAACGGTGGTGAAGAGGGACATATCAATACCCAGTGTTAGAAGCGAGAGCAAGCTCAATCCAGTGAAAAGGTGTTTGCTTTAGCAGGAAATCAGACATCTAATGAAGACAGATTGATCAGAGGTATATATTTTATTAATAATACTCATTTAATTACTATTATTGATATTGGTGCCACATTTTTTTATTGTTGTTGATTGTGTGAAAAGATTGGGTCTTGTGCTGTCTCTTATGATTGGAGAAATGGTTATCGAGACTCCAGCTAAGGGATCAATGACTACTTCTCTAGTATACTTGAAATGTCCTTTGTCAATCTTTGATAAATATTTTGTTGTGGATCTGATTTGTTTGCCGTTGAGTGGTCTGGATGTGATCTTAGGTATGAACTGGTTGGAACTCAATGATGTTCATATTAATTTCTATAACAAATCAGTTCGGGTTCTCACTCCTGATTATGAGGAGGAAACTGATTTCTTGTCCGCTAGGCAGTTGTATGAGTTGATGCAAGATGAAGCTCAAGTGTTTTCATTGATGGCTTTCTTATCCATAGAAATTCAAGCTGCAATTGATGAGTTACAGGTGGTGCGTGATTTTCCTAAAGTTTTCCCAGATGATATATCAGATGTACCGCCATAAAGAGAAATGGAGTTTTCTATTGATCTTATTCCTGGTACCAGACTCTTTTTGATGGCACCATACAGGATGTCAGCATCTAAGTTAGCATAGTTGAAGAAGAAATGGGAAGACTTGCTTGAAAATAAGTTCGTGAGACCAACTGTGTCTCCTCGGA